AGGTTAATATTTAGATTTTTGTCACTTGTGGAAAGCATCTTGACTAATCAAATTAGAGAACTGGAACTATTGTATAAATCTAAATTGATATCATCCTTTAAATCACTGATTGTTCTGTATGTACGTCTTTTTTTATATAACAAGTCATAAAGGTTGAAACTGTTTAAATAATTTTAACAACCACCACCTTCGCTGAAACATAATTGTCAGTTTGGTTTTTAAATGAAGGTTTATGGCAGCAGCACAATATCCCTAGACAAAGAACAAAGTGTTTACACAGTAGACACCAAAAAAATACAAGCAGTTTGGCTGATAAATAGTAGGCCTACATTCTGAATCAAAGCAATATTGCCAGTTTATTAGTGTATAACGTTTCTTATATATACATAAATTAAGCAGATCAGTGGCAGGAAATCCTGATATTCTGAACTTTCAAGTGAAGCTGTACAGATATTAAATCTCTAAATCATGATGGCACAGCTGTATTTGCTCATGATAAGCTCCAGATAAGCATGATTTACAACTAAATCAGCCTAACTGATCTAAGCTAGATAGATAGGCAGGCATTTACATTTGAGCATTTAGCAGACGCTTTTATTCAAAGTGACATAAAACAGAGAAGCAAAAGTAATTAATCAAAGTATGTTCTAAGACTGTTTTGCTAACATTCCTATTAAGTTATGAAAACATTATTTCTAAATGTTCTCTGACGTCCAGTTTTTGAAATGTTTTTTAAGAAGTACAGAATAGTACAGCTAAAAATTGACTCAGCTTGTAATTCTGCTAATTCCAGCATGACATGAACACATTTGTGACTGGTGTTTTGTAAGTTACACCAGAGGCGGTTTTGTGCAAAAAAAGACTTTTTATGCTTGAGAAGCATGTTATTGGGCTGACATGGCAAATTTTATCAGTTCACAAAGTCATCTTACAAGGACCTACTATTATTTATTGCCTATTACTTTGGACAGAAATCTAAATCTGCAATATTTTAAAGGAAATGTATTATGTAAATCATTCATGGAGACTAGACATGCTGTGCTATTTGGGATGCCAGTTATTATTTGTGTTATCATTGAGTCCAGATTTACCTGCCTCTAATAATCAATAACAAAATAAACTCAACCATTGCCTGCTCAACCGGACTATCCTGCCCTCAAGACAGTCGTGTGAAAATGGATTTTAAAGAGGAAATAGATTAGACTATTAAAACAAATCATACATGTATTGGCTTTTGAGCATTAATATTAAAATAATATAGCAACATTTTAGTTAAGGACCGTCTGTTTCACAAAGTCACATTTTGATTTGCACGTTTGTCACATTAACCTACGCCAGGGATCCTCAAATCTGGCCCACGAGATCCACTTTCCTGCAGAGTTTAGCTCTAACCCTAATCAAACACACCTGAGCATGCTAATCAATGTCTTCAGGATCATTAGAAAATCACAGGTAGGTGAGTTTGATCAGGGTTGGAGCTAAACTCTGCAGCGCATTGGCCCTCCAGGGCAAGATTTGAGGAACCCTGACCCAAGTTATGGGCTACACTGAAAAATAATAGAAAATGTACTGGTAATTTTCAGCCAGGAGTCCCAGGACATTATCCTTTAATTTTAAGGACATTTACATTAGCGTAAAAAAGGTAAGACACCTGTTAAAATAAATCAATATGGAACATTCCTTCATATCAATACTGTAAAAGTATGATTTTTTTTAGAGTAGCCTATATATAATTGGTCATATTAGTGATTATTTCACTCTGTTGTTATTGTTTGTCACCAAATAAGTGTGTTATAAAGCAGATATATTGGTGGCGGTATCATGGTAACTTGTCTGGATTCATGGTAAACCTGCTGAAATTGTGTCTCATGAAACGTGTTTATATCATGAATATTGAGTCAAATGTTCAAATATGTTGGTCTAGGTAAGTTTTTGTTTTGTGTAAGATTATTACTCAATGCTCTGCAAGGCGCATTGAGTAAAGACCGCATTGTTTATGCCCGACAAATGCGTAAATGGATCACTTCGACATAGGAAGTGGATACTATATATTATAATACTTTGCTTTGCGTCATCACCCCCTTTGATTATTTCAGATGCCCCTCTTCAGTGCTGCACTGGCCCGACTCTGACTAGACTTTATGCTAACAGACTTTATGCTGAAGTCTGCTGCATTACTCTCAGTGTTTTATCAGTGTCAGTGTGTGGTTTATGTACTCATTACACGTTTCACGTGTGCTCACATCGCCCCCTGTTGGAGAGATTTATTACAGCAAAAGCCATTAAAACTGTTTTTGATTTAATGATTCTGATAAAAGTCATGGCATATCATTACACTTACATTACATAATACAACAGGGTGTCCGCGGGTCCTTAAAAAGTCTTAATGTCTTAAATAAAGGTTTCCTAATAAGGCCTTAAAAAATCTCAAAATGTCTTAAATTCAGATTCTATGGGTCTTAAATATTGTTGGTCACATTACCGCTAAAATATCTTCAGTCTGACGGACCTAAATGGCTGTTTACAATCATTGGACAGACCGAAGATTTTTTTCTTCTCTGCGATAGTTAGTTACTGAGAGAATCGCAGTAGCAGAATACAGGTCGAACTGCCTGACCAGACAGATAGCCTGATTAAAACATAAGTGACAAAAAAACCCCAGCAAAGTATCGAAGAATGATTATTCTCATTTTATTAGCCTACATTCAATGTAAACAGCAATTGATAATGGATAGTATATTTCTGGTATCAAGGTCGCGCTAAGACTCGCTCTGTTTGTCTCTTTGTGAGAAACTTCAGAACAAACGAGCGTAACAGCACACATAAACTCAGAAGAAACACACTGAGGTAAAAATTCAAAATGTTTAGTTTATTCATAACATGATATAGTTAAGTAACACCATGACAAGTGAGCTATTTTGCTCAATATTCTCACGACGCAAAAAAACATTCAAAACACATACAGTGTGCACGCATTACGTGAAGTCTTGTGTGTGTGTGCATTTGCAGTGCGCTCTTTTATGGCACGATTCAGTCTATTAAAATACATTCAGAATGATCACAAATTCAAGACATGGGGGCAGAAAATGTGTATATTTATACCACTTCATATAGTTAATCAATTTCACATGAAGAGTGCTTTTTTTCTCCAAAAATTACCATATACACATGTGAGATTTATTTTTTACAACAGTTCAATAAACTAGAAGTTTTATTAAGATATTTAAGTTTTAGACACCATATTGCCTGTTTTTGCACTATTTCGCGCAAAACATTATCAGTGACTCGCTGCCACCCACTGGCGGTTTTAATTTCACATATAAAGTATCTTTTCATTTTTTAAATCATTTCAAATATCAGTATTCAACGTTTTATGTTTAATAGTAAAAATCAGTTTAAACTTATTGAAAAAGAGTCAGCTATCCACGCTTAAGATACCAGCATGATAACACACTCAATCAGTTGAATGAATGACTCAATACTCACTCATTCAGTGACTTACCGCCACTTACTGGTAGTTTAGTTGAGAAGTTTGTTGAAAAGTATGCATTTTTCCCATCAAGATTTCTTATTTGTATATTCATAAATGCATTTAAAATCTCATAACATTATTTATTGCAGTTGTAATTATTGTTATTTGCAGTGTAAATTATTTAATCTGACTGGAGAGAGAGTATAGGGTCCTAAGTGTCAAGAAGTTTGATTTATTGCCCCTCATAAACCCCCCTCCTCCTACCATAAATGGACACCTGTTTGGACACCTGTTTCTGTACACCCCACCCTC